AACCTAGAAATGTAAAATAGATTTATAATAAAAACACATACAAACAGAATTATGGCTGTGACTCCCCTCCATATAAAACTTTTCCTAACAAATCCAATCACCAACTGTGACCACAGTTCCAAATTCTTTCTTCAATTAGATTGTTATACAGGGATAAAATACATAAAAGTAAACTGTGTTACATGAATGATATCCTTATATTGAGATACATTACATGGATTCATAAAGTGTACTGTGTTAAAAACATGATATCCTTGTATTAAAGTACATTACATGGAATCATAAAAGTATACTGTGTTAAACACATATCCTTATATTAAGGTACATTACATGAAGTCATACAAATGTACTGTGTTAAAACATAATATCCTTATATTAAGATACATTACATGGAGTCATAGTGTTCTGTGTTAAAAACATGATAGCCTTATATTAAGGCATGTTACATTGAATGATAAAAGTGTACAGTGTTATTGGCATGCTATCATTATACAGTATTTGGGTACATTACATGGAGTCATAAAATTGTACAGTGTTATAGACATGATAGCCTTATTTTTGAGCAAATTACAAAGAAAAATGTGCCTAGTAGAAATGGATCCATGACAATAACCAGGTTTTATCAGGGACTGTGTTATAATGAAGTACTTTATAGTGAGGGGCTAATGTAATTTGAATAGATGGAGATGAGGGGAGGGGAGGCACGCGTACATGATAATCTACACAATATGTATTCTTTGTACTCTTCAAAATGGTTATGCAAGTCCATATGTTGAATTACTTAAGCTAGAAGTATTAATGGAATTGTTTACCTTACTAAAATCCAAAGCTGGTCCCTTGTAGAGGGTAGGGACCATGTGCAACCTTGGAATTATGACTGATTGACCTGGTAGAACTTTGATATCTAACAATATCAATCAAAGTGTAAAAAAAAAAAACTACAAATGTTGGCCCATCTCTAGGTGTAGTGAATAGGATCAATGTAAGATGTTCATCCAGACAGGCATAATGCATATTGCATATCAGAATTGATGTCTTACCTGACAGAACTAAGTCCAATGATGCATATCAGGATTGATATTTAACATTAAAGAACTAAGTCCAATGATGCATATCTGGGTTGATGTTTTACATTAAATGACTAAGTCCAATGGTGCATATCTGGGTTGATGTTTACATTACATGACTAAGTCCAATGATGCATATCAGGGTTGATGTTTTACATTAAAGAACTAAGTCCAATGATGCATATCTGGGCTGATGTTTACATTACATGACTAAGTCCAATGATGCATATCTGGGTTGATGTTTACATTACATGACTAAGTCCAATGATGCATATCTGGGTTGATGTTTACATTACATAACTAAATCCAATGATGCATATCTGGGTTGATGTTTACATTACATGACTAAGTCCAATGATGCATATCTGGGTTGACATTTAATATTGAAGAACCAAGTCCAATGATGCATATCAGGGTTGACATTTAATATTATACAACAGAAGAAAGTCCAGACATATGCATGTTAACTTTGTTCTTTTTTAAGTAAATTTGTTAGTGTTCTTTACAAGTGTACAATTAACATAAAGTCTATAACTTTTATATGATGTAAGGAAAGAGAGGTAGTTTTGGTCATTTTCTATCCTAAAATTAAGTAAAATATGTAAATAGCCCATTCAACATTTTTAGGCTTAGTATAGTAAGTGGTGAATCATACAAAAGTGAGAAAGATCATGAGCAGAGGACATTATTTTTTTATTTTGTGGTGATGGTTTGGTTTGGTGTCTTATGGCACAGCTGGTTATTTTCTGGTGATGGCTTGGTTTGGTGTCTTATGGCACAGCTGGTTATTTTCTGGTGATGGCTTTGTTTGGTGTCTTATGGCACAGCTGGTTATTTTGTGGTAATGGCTTGGTTTGGTGTCTTATGGCACAGCTGGTTATTTTGTGGTGATGGCTTGGTTTGGTGTCTTATGGCACAGCTGGTTCTTTTCTGGTGATGGCTTGGTTTGGTGTCTTATGGCACAGCTGGTTATTTGGAGGTGATGGCTTGGTTTGGTGTCTTATGGCACAGCTGGTTATTTTCTGGTGATGGCTTTGTTTGGTGTCTTATGGCACAGCTGGTTATTTTGTGGTAATGGCTTGGTTTGGTGTCTTATGGCACAGCTGGTTATTTTGTGGTGATGGCTTGGTTTGGTGTCTTATGGCACAGCTGGTTCTTTTCTGGTGATGGCTTGGTTTGGTGTCTTATGGCACAGCTGGTTATTTGGAGGTGATGGCTTGGTTTGGTGTTTTATGGCACAGCTGGTTATTTTGTGGTGATGGCTTGGTTTGGTGTCTTATGGCACAGCTGGTTATTTGGAGGTGATGGCTTGGTTTGGTGTTTTATGGCACAACTGGTTATTTGGAGGTGATGGATTCAGGTGCATTAATGTTTAGTTCTAGTTTGAGTGCTTTTATTGAACTTTTCTGTTAACAGAGTACAGTAAAACTTTGATTATCCAGCACCAGATTAAATGTCAATCTCTGTTAGCTATCTGGGCATTGTACATCAAAATATTAAAAACAGGTACATATACATGTACATATGTAGATATTAAGTTTTTTGATAACTCAGTCTTTTGTTTAATACTTTTAATGTAGATATTCTATTATCCGTCCATTTTCATATCCATCATTGTCTCTGTCCCGCATCAAAATCCTACTGTACACAAAATAATATTTTATCATCTGAATCTATTTCTTTATCTATTTGTTTCCAATTCCCATGTCTGTATTGTTTTTTATATTCATATTCTCAATCTTGCTATTTTTCCAATATATTTTTTTTATTTTTTCTGGTCTTTTTTCATTCTCTCTTTCCATGTTTGAACACAATCTCCTCTGTACATCTGTGAGTGGGTCTAAGCAATCAAATGTGAAACCTTCATTTTCAATGTTATTTCATTCCACATGACCAAAGACAAGTAATTATCCTACGAATTTGACCACCATAATAAAAAAAATTTCTTTATCTTGATTTGGAGGTACTGTAATTAAACAAATTTTGTTTGAAAACACTGGCAATTTTATATTAAATTTGACAAATTCAGGCACCATACAAAAACAATGCCTAAATGGAATCTACCAAAGCTACTTATGTTCATCTCTACCCATCCATCCCCCTCCAACTCATGTTTTACAAAAACAGATATCATATGCAATTTAAGACAGAACCACTTTATATCTACAATGTGACAATTTTAAAATTACCTATACTGTGTTTCACTGTCTTTCTGATATACAAATCAGTGATACAAATTCTAGTTTGATAAAGTTCTTGCTATATCAACTTGTAGCACCCCAGATGTCAATACTTCTGACTGATCTCTTTCCAAAAGTTTTAACTGGTTCCAGTGTTTGACTGGGAGAAAAAACAGAAGCCTCACTCTGCAATTTCAGTTAAACTGGGCCACTCTCTTTCTTATATTCATATTCTCAATCTTACTATTTTTCCAATATATTTTTTTATTTCCAAAAAATTCTGATTCATTTTAATAGGTTGATTTTTCACACACAAAAAAGTTGTTAACATAACTGGGAATCACCTGAATCAATTGTGAATCACATCTTCTGAAGAGTCCATTTGCATGCTGTTCAGCCATTTATCATTTATTTGCTGGTTAAGGCAATATGAACTCTATTCTATAAGGTAATACAACCAGTCTATGTCTGTCAAATGCCCTAATGATGCACAACAATGTAATGGGCCAGTTCACAGTCTGAATCTGACAAGTGAGAGCACAAAATCTGCACCAATTATTTTTAACACCCGACCATATGGACAGTCTTTCAGATTTTTGTTAGCCATGATTTTTTTGTTGCAGAAATGCAACCTAGAGTGAATCCTGTAACAAAATCTTTTCCTTAAAAAAATACATAAAACTTAAAAAATATGAGGAAAAATACAGCTGTAGTTCATGAGTAACTTCAGCTAGAGTTATATACATTTTCTACATGTCAGTTCAGTTTAAGATCCCACTACCAAGTCTGTCAAATGATAACATGTATCATACAATATATGTATTATGGATTTGTGTATACAAAGCAACAGAATATAGATTTAGCACACAAAGCATTGTGTACACAATGCATGATTACACACACACACACACACACACACAGAGGTAACCATCTAGAGACACTTTAATATATAAAAAAATAAGAAAGTTTACCATAATTTGTTTCTGTTCTAATCTGGATTGCATCCATTACAAACATTTCAGATGAAAAGAAAGGTATTGATGATGCTTCCTTAACATCTTTAGGTAGACAGTTCCAAATGATGGGACCATAAAAAGCCCAGCTATATTTAGACAATTCATTCTCTCTTTTGGCTTAGGAACAAGAATGTCATTAAATGACATAGAGCACAGACTAGAATCTGTGTTAATTTTTGTCTAAACATGCCATTTATATAATTGGGCACCGAATCCAAAATTTTAACATAAAATTTTAGCTTTTTTAAAACACATTCTTTAACAGATAGTCATGATCTTCAAACCAATCAAACACTGAAGACATTATCGACAATGTAATGAAAGATGATTCTGACAGCTCAGTTTTAAAGTCCTTCAACTTTTAACATGTTTAATGAGAACCATTACTCTATGTGATAATGCAGGGGCCCAGATGATTTTGAATATAACTTTTGTAAAATATTATTATCCTGTAGTCAAAGATTTGGTAATTTTAACTCTAATATACTTTGATAGAAACCCAATATTCTTAGAAACCTTTCTAGTACCACATATACTCACCTATAAGCCAAGTCAAACTACAAACAACAAAGATCCTGATCTGCTGTAGCATGTGACAGCAGATCTGGTTCTGTGCCCTCTGCAGCTGGATTAGTTTCCCAGTGGCATAATACATGACATGATGCCTGGTTCTAAATCGTTTTAAAACAAATCTTTCAAACTAAATGTAGTAGTTTCATATTCATGTTTATTCTTTTGGTGGACACCCATGCTAGCTCATTTGGTAAAGCATTGCATTCAAAATCCAAGGATCATGGTTTCAATACCCATCCATGCCAACCTGCACCCATTGCTCATGGTAAAAGCACTTAGCTCCCACTTCCTCAATGTGATAAAGGGAGTAATGTGTTAAAAGTGCAATTAAAATAGCTATTTCTTGGTGTCCATTATTTTACACCTTTGGGCCATTAAAAAATCTGATATTGCAAATGACCTACTGACAAATAGCAATCAATTAGTGCTTATCAGTGACCCTTGTGGACAATCTAATCAAAATTGGATCTCTATTATCCTAGGTGAATATTTTACAGTGACCACTTAGGAATGTGTTTTGGTAACCTATATTATTACAATCAGACTGAATCAGTGCTAATGTTATTAGCCAATCAGATGATGACCTATATTATTACAATCAGACTGAATCAGTGCTAATATTATCAGCCAATCAGATGAGGACCTATATCTTTCCCTTTCAGAATCTTAGTAATATGAGTGCCAAACAAGTTTATTCACTTTCTGATTTTGAAAACTGGCTAATTCAAAGGTTACCAAAACAAGTAGTCACTGTCAGATCTTTATGTAGAGATCTAATTTTAATCAGAATGTCATTGTGGACCACTGACCAATCAAACTGTGCAACCTGCAAATCACTACACAATAAAATCCAATTCAGTACCCAGGAATGTAGCCCTAGTCTATTTTTAGATCACTTTCCCCCCTCCCATCTCCATTTGGTGGTGATACAAGAGTTAGATTTTGGCATTCTTGGTAAGGATTTAAAGGCAATTGTTTATTCTTTAAAATGTGAGCTTATGGTGTGGTTGTCTGTGTGTATTTCTGTGACAGTGCACAGTGAGTAATAAGGCCATGGTGATGATTCGGAAGTAAAATCTGTCTTTCATTGCATGGTGTTTTGTTTACAATTCAGCCTCTCAAAAAAATGCAGGTCAACCCTTGACAAGAACTTCACTGTAAAGTCATCTTTAAAGGTATTTTAAATTAACATATGATTTGTATTAATTGTCACACAGTAGGAAGTTCAGTACTGAGAAACAAATGTAGAGACTATATAGTAAAATTAATTATGTTATATGGCCATTAACTCATTAGTAAAAATTTGTAAGACTCCTTTAAAAAAAAAAAACTCACTAATGTGTTGCCACTAAATATTAAATACAATTTAATGTAACTTACCACTTTGCATCAGATGTTGAAATTTTCAAGTTGTGATCATCACAATAAAAGAGGTGTGCAAATTTCACAAGAAAATCTTGAAGTTTATAATTAGTTTTGCTAATTGAATAAATACAGAATAGGAGTAGCAGGTTAATCCTTAAGCCTAATCCTAATCCTATAATCTGAATGTTTTAAAATGAATCTATCTTGCCTTGTACAAGAAGGACCTTTAACAATAATATCAGGGGAACCTGAGTTGCAGTTGTCAAAGGTGCTCCACTTTCTAGAGTACTCAAACAACTTACATAAGCCTGGATCAGCTTAAGTCTGGGTATGTGAAAAAAACTTGCCAGTAGCTTCAATGGGTTGGTGGTCCTTCCCAGGGTTTTCCCCAGGTTCTTTCTCCACCAAGAATACACTGACTGCCATTTACAGTCTTATCAGGTACTAAAAAATGCTATTAAACCACCAAAAAGATTAATTTAAACAAAACATAAGAAATAAATGGAATGTATAAGCTTAAATTCAAATTACTCCAATTTTTAGGTACCAAGGTGTACTAGACTCACAAATGAAAGTTTGACCTTCAGTTCAACCTGTGTTGCCTACCATGATTTGTCCTTATGCAAGGCACATTACTCCAACTGTCTCAGAATTAAATAGCCAACTTGTGTTGCTGTGCTGTAACACATGAAACCAAACCAAGTTAAAAATTGTAACCCTATTTCAAATGATTTCAATATCATATGGATGCTGTAACTATCTGAAGCCCTTCACCAATGATACATATTAATACATGCTGTATATATTCATTTATAAGTCCAACTGCAAACAACATATCCTACTTAAGTTGAGTCAAATTGTAAACAATCAAGAGTCTGATCTGCATGTCAGGATCTATTTTGTTTGTTCTACTGATTACTGCTAATACACTGCAGAAACCCTGATCTACCATAACATTATGTGATGACATGTCTGGGTCTGTGCAGTTTGCAGTTGGATTCATCTTTTATGCAAATATATATGGCAGTCTTCAATTGGCCTCAACTTATAAGCAAGTATATACTGTAGTCTCAGTTTACATATATATCTAACAATGTGATAGATTGTGTTTTATCAAATGGAATAACTGGATTGAAATATCAAAATGAATTAACAGCATATATAATTGTCTAATGAGCTGTTGTTTTACAGTCCTCTGCCATGTTTATCACTTATAAGTCAGTCGAATTGCAAACTTCTTACACCCAGCTCTCCCATCACATGATGCACCAGCAGATCTGGGTCTATGAAGTCTGCTTGGTGTAATCAGTAGAACAAACCACATAGACCCTGATTGCTGGCACATTATGTGACCACAGATAAAGATTAATATTGTTTGCAACTGGACTTAAGGTACTACAAGTAACCATGGTATATAGCATGTAATTGATCCACTAGCAAACTGACAATAATACCACAGATAATCAAGCTAAAACACTGTCTTCAATTAAAATACCTACCACAATTTAATAGTACTGCTAGTAGGATTATCTGTAAGTAGTGTTTTTATAACCTATTAACAACTTTACTTATAGTGTAAACTTGATCTGTTCATTGAATGTTCTAGTAATTGGCAGAGAAAGACCTACTAAAGCAAACTGAATTTGTTATGAGAAAATAGATGGAACAACTAGGACTACACATGCTAAAACAGGAATTATAATTATACACACATGTATGTGGTTTACAGGAATAATTATTACAGGCTGACAGAAATTTTCATATTGTTATTAAAACTATAGCTTACTGTATGTACATGGTTATAAGTCAAGTCAAACTACATAAACAAAGCTTCTGATCTGTATCAGCATAATGCACCTGCAGATCAGGATCTATGCAATCTGCTCTACTGATTACACAGTGTGCAGACACAGATCATTATGCAAAAACAGATTTGAATCTATGCAGTATGCTCTGGACTTGTCTTATAAGCAAGTATATATGGTACCTAACAAACATAATAATATGGTCCTCTTCCCAAATACTGTTTAATTTATAAATTCAATTTTTATACATTAATTAATATTTGTTGTTGTTGTTGTTGTTGTTGTTGTTGGGCTTAACACCATTTTTAAGCACACAATAGGCTATTCATGTCGGCCAGTATTAATGGTGGAGGAAGAACCACTGACCCATGAGAAGCTACAGGCAAGCTTTCTCACCTATCCACATTCAACAAATCCTAGACTCAACCCATGTGACAGAGGTGAGATGGCAGTGATCCGTAAGGGACAGTGCTTTAGACCACTTGGGGCCCCAATTAATATTTGTATTACTTAATCATTTATAATTTTCTAAATTTTTATAATTTAACTGCTTTCCTCAAAATGTTTATGAAAGAAATTTTTAATGACTTTTTTCTCCCTATAATCATTGCAAGATGGAACAGGTCACAATTTTCATACCTTCACTTTCATCCCCTTATTCTTTTGTTCAATAATTCTTTTATGTTTTGTGAAAATATCATCACATCAGTAGGAACATAAATGAATATATAAATAAAAACACACAAATAAATAATTAAAGAAAGCAATGAATAAAACAAACAATTGTTCAAATGGGTACCCAATGCTGGTTAATGGAGAAGAAAAAAAGGCCCAATATTTTCCAAATGGGCTACTCAAAGGTATAGAATAGACCCAGTGTTCCAAATGGGCTGCTCAAAGATATAGAATAGGCCTGAAGTGTTCAAAATGGGCTGCTCAAAGGTATAGAATAGACTCAGTGTTCCAAATGGACTGCTTAAAGGTATAGAATAAGCACAGTGTTCCAATTGGGCTGTTCAAATAGGCCCAAAGTGTTTCAAATGGGCTGTTCAAAGGTATATAATAGGCCTGAAGTATTCAAAATGGGCTGCTCAAAGGTCTAGAATAGACCCAGTGTTCCAAATGGGCTGCTCAAAGGTATAGAATAGACCCAGTGTTCCAAATGGTCTGCTCAAAGGTCTAGAATAGACCCAGTGTTCAAGGTCTAGAATAGACCCAGTGTTCCAAATGGGCTACTCAAAGGTCTAGAATAGACCCAGTGTTCAAGGTCTAGAATAGACCCAGTGTTCCAAATAAGCTGTTCAAAGGTATAGAATAGGCTCAATGTGCTTTAAATGAAATGTTATGCTGCTGGCTCAGGAATGTAGAATAGGTCCCAGGTGTTTCAAGTCAGTGCCTCCTTGCTGGCTCTAGGGTAAAGAATAATCCAGAAGCAATTTAAATAGCTCCCCACTGCTACCTCATGGACTTAGAATAGGCCAGAGATGTCCCCCACCATGTCATAACTGGGCACCTCCTATTAGCTTAAGAAAGTAGAATAGGCCACATGTGCCCCCTTCATGTCATAAGTTACAACTAATGAAAGTTTCATAATTATGGTTTAATTATTTTGCTTATTTATATTAAAAAAACTATTAAGTTTAGTACCTGAAAGTATAAAAATAAAATACTTTCACAAAAATAAATTATAAAATGTGTGGTGTCACATTTTTATTTAGTCCTTGGGTCAAGTACATATATAGTTAGAACCATTATGGTAATGCATAGTGACACACAGTGGCTAGTGGAAGATACATGTATATATGGAAAAAAATTTCAATCGAAAGGTCTACAGGAGACCCAAAAATTGCCTAGTCAGTGTTTTCTATGGATTCTTAACAATTGGACCCACTCTAAAGGAAAAAAAAACCTTTTTTTTACAAAATTAGTTTTTCTTTCACAATAATATGGAAATTTATTCCTCTATTAATTTATTTCAAATGAGGGAATTTTACCTTGAGAGACATTTTAATGTAAATCCTAACTCCACCTTTCTAATTCCTAGTGATCCATCCTGGTTCTGAAACTTTCACTCT